TGATTGCAGCGGTCCCTTGGACGCTCCCTCCTCCCCGCCTGCCCCCGCGCCGCGCCGCGCCGCGCCGGGAAGGGGGAGGGCGCCGCGAGGCAGCGCGAGGAGCGAGAGGCACCAGGCTGCAGCCAGAGGAGATCCGGAGACTGCGCGCTGCGAAGCAATTTTTTTCCTCCACCCTTGGTGGTGGGCGAGGGGGCTGGAAGCGTTCGCCCCGGCTCCTGCGCACATGCTCTCTTCCTCGCAAAGTTTCTCCTCCGATCACTCCGGGATTGTTCCTGCTCTGCTGCGGGCGCTAACCTTGAACTTTGTGAGCCTGGTGACAGCGCTCTGCTAACCCGGCACCAGCTTCTTTTGCAAAACAAAAAAACCAAACCAAACCAAACCCAAACAACAACATCCAAATCCTCCCGCCCTCCCCCCTTAAAAACAAATCAACAACAACAAAAAACAACTCCCCCCCCCCTTCAGCTGAAAAGCAACCGCCACCATCACCATCAGCAGCAGCAGCAGCCGCAGCAACCAAAGGCAAAGACTCCTGCGCCGCCGACAACAAGAGGGTTAAAAGTGTAGACTGGATTTCACCCCGGGAAATCTAGCGCACGGAGTGAACTTGAATCTTTGGCTATTTAAGGAGGACTGGGGGTTTGTTGCGAAGTTGCGGTGATCCAGGGCGAGAGCCCCGTCCCGATTGATTTCATCTTCCTTGAGTCTCAGATGACTGTAAAATGAATAGATGAAATTATTCCCTTTTGAGGCTTTTCTTAGGGGCTCTCCGGGAAGTTTGCTCTCAAAGAGAAGTCATGATGTATTCTCCCATCTGTCTCACTCAGGTATAGATGCGTTTCGTTTTTTTGTGTGTTTTTTTTTAAATATATATTTAATTTTATTCTGCTTTTTTATTTTTTAAGGTGTGGGTTGCTTATGAGTCATGGGAACAGCCGTAACGGGTCAGAGCACAGTTTTGTCAGGATGCAAACTCCTCTTGCAGAAGGGAAGAGCAGAGAATAAACTGTACCAGGCCATTGTTTTGGGGAGATCCCTGCCATGCACCCCCCGGAGATGCACACTGCTAATGGTTATTGCATTAAAAACCAAAAAAGCCAAAGGTTAATAAAACAGAAATGAATATAATTGCTCTAAAAGAAAAAGAAATCCGGGTTGGAAAAAAGTATTGATCAGGCTGCAAACCATTGATCTGCTGTCTTCTGAACTCTCCGGGCTTTTCAGGCAGTGCCTGATAAAAAGGATTTGAGAGGGGAAGTGTTATTTAAATAACAACCAAACAAACCTGGCGTAGCAGAAGATTGTCCTGTGCTCTTATTAAAATACAAAGCGTGCCAGCATTTTCAGGTGGATCTAACTTACCTAGGTATTTTCTCATTGGGGTGTATGGGGCGACAGGGGGGTTTTCTCGCTTGATGTCGGGATATCTGATTTTGCACATCAGTAATGCAACAGGGAAAGCCAAACGCGGGCGCTTGTTCAAATTGCATTTGGAGTTTTGCAGGTTTTTGGTGCCGACTGACTCTGCACCCTCTGAGCAATGATAGTGCACGCTGCAAGCAAAGCTATCAATTTGGGGAGAGTTTGGGCAAACCGTGGGGTATTATTGTAGGGGAGTGTTTCATATGGGGAGTCAATTTAGCAAAATCCGTGGTTTTATGAAACTCTTCGCAGCACTATGTGTTGCAGGCAACAGAATATGGCTCTTATTCTTTTGAAACTATTTTATTGTTAAACATCAGTATAGAAACAACGCATCAGAAGTTATTTAAGTGCCCGTAGAGTGTAGCTGATATGACCACGGAAAGAAGAAACCAGTATCTTGGTGCCAGACCAATCCCAAATAGTAAATTATAACTCTAAAACTACGGGATAGTTTTCAGCAGCTTTTTTTTTTAAAGTCTGTCTTAGGAGGATGTGATGTAAACTGATTAAACTGATAACTGCTTGCCTCCACATTGGTGTTTAAGAAAGGAAAAATGTGAGAAAATAATTCTAGTGTTAGACTATTATAAATCTAATATTTAGGTGCTGATATTTGCGCAGTGGACTAATAAGTATGATTCCAATTATTTGAGACTTAAAAACCATTGTGATTCAAAGGGACTGTAGCATTTATAAATTGTGAATGAAGATGAAAACAAAGATAAGGCTTATTCAGTGATTGGATGCAGTCCTGTAGCTTTTTGGCTGACACATTTTTTTATTGTTTATATTTTGTTTGGCATCTAAGTCTGATTGACTTAGCTATGGATATTTTCAGCAAGTAAAAGTCAACATCAGTGGAGCAAATCTGGAAAAATAGTGTCACTGAGTTATTTGAAGTTTTAAAAAAGATAATATAATCATTACATGTAAATTGCACTAGCATAATAGATAACCACATATGTTTACAGGTATGCGCATAAGAATTACTTCTAGCGGAATCCCAAAGTAGTAGATTTTTTTCCTCTATGAGCTGCCCTTTTTGTAAATGAATAGCTAATGAGAACTCTGGACATGAACTTTTATCTAAAAGTTTTTAATTATATTAAAAAATGGGGAAATTCTAACTCCCATCAATAATAAAGCAGATCAGGGCGTTCACTGTTAAAAGATCCAGTGACTTTTTTTTGTGCCTTTTGCTTTTCTGACTTTTTCCTAAGAAGATGCAATAAAGCCCATCATTTTTTCCCCAAATCTCTATTAAAATGCTGATATTGGTGTCTTTGTAAATGTTTAATTTATTACACATGCAAACATAAATAAAGCAATATCTTGCTTTAATGTATTACACATAAAGATGATAATAATTTCCCATCATGTACAATGTTGTTTTTATATAGGCACATTCACTACTAGACATCCATATTTCTGGAGTACAAATGTAGTGGTTTAGATTTTTCTTTGATTTTGAATATCCGTCATCTGCTTGGAATGATGAAGGACCTTTCTTACCAATTTTTCTTCCCCCTAAATTAAAGATTAAGTTTACATGATACATGAGGACTTGCAGTTTGTCATCTTTTCATTTTTAAAGTGGCATATCACTGAGTCTTATATTAAGTTGATATTATAAAAAAAGCCTGTCAAAATTAGTATCTATTGCACTTACCATGTGTATAAAACTTCAGGTGTAGTCTGGATGCAGTGGTATCTGTGTATTTTGATACCATTTATAAGCGCAGATCAAAATAGAGTATTTGTTTGGATAAAATTTTTCACAAAAGTAGTTGTTCAATTTGTGCAGGAGTAGCATTGTAGCACCTTTTGAGAGTGGGTCTGAAATCTAGAAGCAGGGTTTTTAAGCCAATACTGAACAATGTCATCAGTTAAATGAAACTTTGGCATGAATAAAAAACAAAGAAGAATACATATTTATCAAATACAACTTTATTTTTTCATGTTGGAATGAATATAAATTCCATTTATCTCTTGCTGAGGCATAAGATGTCGTTCCTGCACCCTTTCAGATACTCAGCTCTTGTGATATTTTTACACTGGTTTATTTTTATATTGCAGTAGTCCAGGAAACAAAATTTCTTACAACTGTCTTTCCTCTACAGAATATATTGTGTAGCAACAGGCAAACAAAATCCAACTGGTAAAGATGAGAATTCAGGCTTTCTAGGTATAATTACCATTTTTCGCCTTATTTCTTTCCTTATTGTTTCATAGCCCTATAATTTAAACTCAGGTGGTTTGATTGACACAGTTTGGACAGAGGAGGGGAAGGGAAGGAGAAAGCAAATATATTTCTCATGTAAGTATTCTGCAAAGAAAGCTGGCGTATCTGTCATTATTATATTGCCATTAGACTATAGGTATTTTTTTAATTTATTTGCAAGTTTTATACATGTTTAAAAAATCCCTCCCATTTTATTTGAAATTTTCAGTGCACATTGGTTCTCCCGAGCCATTCATTATGACATTTGAAAACCTTACCTTCATAAATCATTTTTTTGCGAGCGTAGTTATGACTCGCATGGGTATGTGCCACATAAAAATCATTTTTTCAATATTGGCTCTACCAATATTAGGGAAAAATCAAATTTAGTAGATGGCTTTTTAGAAGGTTTAGTGGAGAACGTCTGTGATTAATAGCAAATCTCCATTTAGGATCATTTTTATGGGGCACTTCTTGTCAAGTAATGTTTCATTTGAAAGGAATCCAGACATACAATGAATCTCTCAAAGGTATTTGATAATACTGCTTTGCAGTAGGACATAATTCACTGATTTTTTTGCATCACTTTTTTTTCTTTAACATATTTTTTATAGCTTAAGCACTGAATGATATTGTAAAACAAAAGTCTGAACTTAAAAAGTAAAGTTTTTCGTTTGAGATATTCACTGAATAAATCAAAGCTGAGAACTGAAAACCTGAAATTTAAACATTATAGAATGAGCTATTGATTTTTAATGCTGTTAGCTTTCATGTTAGTATTACAGACAGAATCTAAGAGTAAGGTCAAACCAAAAAAGCTCATGACATCCTTATGACTAAATAAGATAGATCAATAAAATTGCTTTGAATATTGTAGCATATTTTCATCTATGAAATCAGCAGCCTCTTTTAAATGTAGAGGAAAATATTTAATTTGGGATAAAAGGTCTTCCTGGCCTCCTCTCCTCCCCCACCTCTCAGCTCTAAGGGTTTCCTAAATCTGTGGTGAATCTGTTTTCTTCAACATGAAATGAATTGGAAGTGTTTAATGCAGCACACTCCTTGCTGCATGTTGTGCAATGAACATTTTATTCAAATGCTTCCATTAAGATCACTTTCAGAGGAGAAAAAATAAACTTTCTGCAGTCGTTGTAAGGAGAGGAAAAAGCATGGCATCAGAAGTGTATGGAAGATACGGAAGTCTTATCATGGGCTGTGGTTGCTCGGAGCACTATTGCCTTCCCACACAAAGAACAGATTGTGGTTTAACTCTTTACATGGCCTAGTTTTATGTGCCAGTATAGTATCAGAATTGTTTAAATCTCTGTTGGAGCTGCTGATCAGTTTAATTATTGCCTTTGTGGCCCTTTGTTATGCATTGTACTGTAATGCAATAATTTGTGTCCTGTCCTGTTGTTCAGTTTTGTTTGTTTTTTCTGCCATTCTGCTAATGTAACATTGAAACTTTTTTGTTGTTGCTTTTTGTTTTTGTTTTCAATTTGTTTTGAAGATTGGTGGCGTACACCTATTGCATTTTTACATCTGTTTTAACATGTAGGATCTTTTGAAATTCCTCTTAAATTTGAAGTTTTAGTATGAAAATCTTGGTCTGAAGACCAGTAGGCTGCCATGAAAATAGACTGAACTCCATATAATTATGAAGCCATTAGTTACACTTTCAACTTTTTTTGTCCTAATGGAGTTAATCAGTGTACTGATTAAATTTAATTCATTCCATGTCTATCAGTGTAACTAAAACACTAGTTTATAAATTGTATTCTTGAATATCATTACATAAAGGAGGTTAAATTGTAGTTTGATTGTACTTAGTCACTCAAGATGACGAATAATCACTGCACACTGTTAAAAAAGACCCCAGAACACACGCACACTCATATACAAAGACCCCCTCCGAAGCCAATTGGACCCCTCCAAACCAAAACTGTAACATTTGATAAGTTACTCTTGCTTTTTTTGTTAATGGAATAATTACGCTCCTATTCTTTCAGAGAGATACTTTTAGGAAAGGTTCCGTTTAGACAGATGTGAACAGGTATGTTGTACGTTACTTAAAACAGACAAAATGAATGAATTTAATTGCTATAGAGTAGATTCTTAAATAACATTTAATTATTACCCTATTTAAAGAGTATAGACTACAAGCAGGCAGAAGATATGAACCTGCAGTTATGGCTGTATGATAGGATAGGATGTTTTAAAACTAAATAAACTGCATAGATTTGACAAAAGCAGTGTTTGACCAGTGGTAAACTCTTAATGTCACCCTGCCACAGCATGCAGAAACACAAAGAATGCAAAGTTTGTGCCAAGTTGCCATTTTTCATTGTATACCTCAGATTGATTTTTAAGGGGTTTAGAATAATTGCCACACTCATGTGATCAGTTAACAAATTAACCAACTCTGTGGGGCTTCAAATCCTACAGTGGAGCTGTCGGAAGAACATTAATGTAATTTTTGTTCTCAACGTCATAAACTTTTATTTTACAAAGATGGGAGGGTATGAGGGAAGCATGCAGAGCTGAAAGTACAGAAGCTTCTGTTCAGGTTTTTTACACTGCATGCTGTGTCTTTTGCCCACTTTCCCTTACTGTATACTGGTTTCTCTAGTTACCATCACTGGAATGGTGCTGTTTCAGTGTTGGAATGTTGGACGTTTGATAAGAAAATGGATCAAGTTTAATGGCGCATGCTCTTTGTGCCACCAGCAGTCTCTTGCTGAGAGCATGCTCCAAAAGCGGGAACTGTGTGGCATTACACTGAGCATGTATATGCTTTGTGTTTCTGTGGCACAGAGAAGAGAAATGAACTGTGGCATTCGCTTCTGCATTCTGAACATTTCTGCTCAGATTTCCTAAAATCGTACAGTGTCCTCTTTGTAGAATGGTACTGCTTGGTGTTAGCCGATCAGTCAATAATTAAATGTTAGAAATGAAACATCTTGTTAGCATCGCTTTTGTATGATGTAGTCTGTATAGCATTGTGGGGACAAGTGAGAAGAAGCATGCAAAATAAAACCTTCATGTGTTTCTCTCAAAGGGTGAAATGGGGAAAAGGGAACATTTGATTCTGTGGGTACTTCTATCTGTTGCTTGACAGTTAATGTAATTACATAAAGGGATAGTATGCAGAAATTTTTATAAATGCTACATCTGTATTGTCTTCATCTTGTTTTTCACTTTTGCAATTTTCAGAACCCTATCTTACTTTTTCCTTGCTTGCAAGAAAAAACTGACTTTGAGTTTTCTTCTTCTTTTTCTTCCGCGCTTCTTTCAACAGGATGAATTTCACCCATTCATTGAGGCACTTCTTCCACATGTCCGTGCAATCGCCTATACTTGGTTCAACCTTCAGGCTCGAAAACGCAAGTACTTTAAAAAACACGAGAAACGAATGTCAAAGGATGAGGAAAGAGCAGTCAAGGATGAGCTACTTAGTGAAAAGCCTGAAATTAAACAGAAGTGGGCATCCAGGCTCCTCGCCAAGCTGCGCAAAGATATACGCCAAGAGTACCGGGAGGATTTTGTGCTCACCGTTACTGGGAAGAAGCACCCATGCTGTGTATTGTCCAATCCTGACCAGAAGGGTAAGATTAGGAGAATCGACTGCCTGCGACAGGCTGACAAAGTCTGGCGGCTGGATCTAGTCATGGTGATCCTGTTCAAAGGCATCCCCTTGGAAAGTACGGATGGAGAACGTCTCATGAAATCCCCACATTGCACAAATCCAGCACTTTGCGTCCAGCCACATCACATAACAGTATCAGTCAAGGAGCTTGATTTGTTTTTGGCATACTACGTGCAGGAGCAAGGTAGGAAGCAGATTGTAGAGTTTCTGTGTTAGTATGTCAAACTCTGATTCCAAACAGACTTCCCCTCCCCCC